GGTCACCGACAGACCACGACGTCCCCGTGAAATGCATCCCACCTGAGACATTTAAGCAACCTCCTCAGAGATAGCTAAGTTCGTGTTTAAAATCATGGCTCTTTTTCTTATTGTTGAAAAAGTAAGACATAAACACACACACTTCAACAATGCACATTGCAAAAAGCGTGAATGTGGTGAAAAATAGGCCCTCCCACCTGGGCCTTTACTCCCAGGGCCCATCGCTGGGCGGGGTGTTTTGTCTTTCCAGAGTCTCTGCACACAGAACCACGGGGGCGTGTGTGGCATAAACATGCAGGCACCGTTCATCTACGCCCCCACTCCACCTCCGCTCTGGAATGCAGCAGAGTACCCGCTATTTTGTTCCTTTGCTCCTCACCTAACCACACATGTGCGCAATACCCCAGCTGCACCGCACCCTCCCCCGTGGCTCCGCGGCCCCTCCATCACCAGGCCCGTTTCTAGTTCCTGCCATGTGTCTGCTTTTCCCCACTTCTCCCTCTCTCTGCTGCCTCCCAGCACTGGGTCCTGTTGCACCCTGAGGCCGTTCGTGTGGTCAGCCACAGGGCAGAGGGCTGGGCCGTCCCACCTGGTTGCCATGGTTCCCAGATAATTGATCCAGGACTTCAAACTCTGGGTCTGCAGTGGGGAGCACAGGGTCCCGGGCAGTGTCATTGTCTGTGGTCCCGCTAGCGCTGACAGAAGAGCTGTGAGTGAGACCCCTCTCTCTGAAGAGTGCCGCCGTCCTTCAAGCTGACGGAGAACAAACGGGACCAGAAGTGGCCACAGCTCGGTGGTCATCCCATCGACCGGCCTTCTTCAGGCGGGTGGATGGAACTGCACTACTGGAGGGGAGCACTAGATCGGGGTTCAGAAGCCAGAGTTCTCATCCCCTGCAGACTGCCTGTGTGACCACGGGCAGGTGGCCTTCTCTCTCTGGGCCCCGTGTCCTCACCTGTGCCAGGACTGAGGTCTCCCCTCCAGTGCTCCAGGAGGCTGAGGACTGGGGACCTTCTGTAGCTGGCCAGTCCTGTCTGTGCTGGGCGCACCTTGCAGCCCTTTATTTGCTGACACACTTTTTTCCTCCTCTAGGGAGATCCCGGGATCAAAGGTGACAAAGGAGCTCCCGGTGGGAATGGCCAGCCTGGGGACCCGGGAATCCCAGGCCACAAAGGCCACACGGGCCTGATGGGACCCCAAGGCCCACCTGGGGATAGTGGGCCGGCCGGGCCCCCGGGGCCTCCGGGCCAGCCGGGATTTCCAGGACTGAGGGTAAGGGTCCTGGCGCTGCCTCCGACGTGGGGCTCCCTGGGGCCCGAGGGAAGCCAGGGAGGGATGTGGCCTTTATAGGGACTGGGTTGCAGATCCCAGTAACCTGTGTGACCTGGGGCAGGTGACCCCCTCTCTGAGCCTGTCCTTCCGTGTCAGCCAAAGGGAGAGGACATCCTCCCCTGACAGGCTTGTCATCACATGAGAAGGGAGAAAAGTGCATAGCTTAAGACTCGCCAAGGAGGGTCCCTCTGCTGCTCTGCCCTTGACATGACACCCCTTGGGCAGCAGCGCCCTTCTGCCCTGGGACCCTGTACGGAAGATGACTGAGGAGATGCCGCCAGCTCCGTGGTCTGAGCGTCCCTGGGGTGGCTCGCCATCTGTTCCCTGCCTGGCTGTGCCTCCCTCCTGTCTGCCTTCCCGGGGGACCCGGTCTGGGTCTTACTTCTCCCAAGCTTAAAAGGAAACGCTTGTTTAGAGCATTTTTTCCCTTTGAACGTATTTTATTCTAGTGACGTAACTCTTACTTTACACACGCTTGTCACAGAAGCACACGTTGGCTATCGAGAGGAAAACAGCTGCCCAGGTGGGAGTGTGGTGGGGGCTGGTTGCCCCATCCATGTGACCTCCCCGTCCCCTCTCAGCAGCCACATGGTCCCCAGGCCTAGGTGATCTCCAGTGTTCCCATCAGCCGTGACACTTGATGGTTCTGTCACTTCCCGGTGGCTGTACCAGCCTGAGTCTCAGCCACCCTCAAAGAAGCCAGGCAGCCAGAACCCCTCTCTCAGCCAAGTGCGGGGTGAGGGCCGTGGGATGGGCTTCCAGAGCCCCCCTGGGTCCCAGCCCAATTTTCCGAGACCTGCTGCTTGGGGTAGCAAGGACCTCTGGGGCTGTCATAAAAGATGATTGACCAGGGAAGAGAAAGAAAATAAGGAAATGGAGTCCATCTCACACCGAGCCCCGTGCCAGGTGCCGGGGCCACAGAGACAAACCCAGCAAGCCCCGCACCTTTGAGGGGTGGACGCTGCCCTGCGGGAGCCAGAAGACGAGGCAGGAGCCCGATGTGTGAGGACTGCTCTGGTAGAGCCTGCTGGGAATCTCCTGTCACCGTGTGAGCCTGCAGGTGGCACTGTGCTTGTTAGGCCCACAGACAGCTTCTGTGATCCAGGCTCCAGGACTGTATCAGACACCTGTGTAGGGGCCAGGTGACCAGGGCAGGTGAAACAGACCCTGGAAGCCAGAGTGGCCAGTCTAAGAAAAAGCAAATGTGACTCGAACAGTGGTTCTCAACCTTCCTAATGCCGCGACCCCTTAGTACAGTTCCTCATGTTGTGGTGACCCCCAACCATAAAATTATTTTCGTGGCTACTCTATAACTGTAATTTTGCTACTGTTATGAATCGTCATGTAAATATCTTTTTGTTTTCCGATGGTCTTAGGTGACCCCTGTGAAAGGGTCATTCGACCCCCAAAGGGGTCGTGACCCGCAGGTTGAGAACCGCTGCTGTAGGCGGTGGTCTGGAGCTGGTCCTGGAGGTAGCAGGACTCAGGCAGGGAGAGCTCGGAGGCCAGACCTCCCAGGCCCAGAGCTGGGCGCGGGGTCCAGTGAAGGAGCAGCAGGGGTGAGAGGGACAGGCCGCAGGGGCCTCAGACAGCCTGGAGTCCAGGCGGCACGCAAAGGGCACACGCTTCCGGCGTGACAAGGAAGGGGGAGGGGCTTGCGGGTGTAAAAAGGACTGGACTAGGAAATGGGAAGCGCGTTGCCGTGAGCCTCTCAGTTCCCTGAGCCGTCTTTCCAGGTCCCGGTGGCCGGAGTTCCTGGGAAGATCAATAACGCACCTTCCCTCCCTCCTAGGGGGAACCTCCCTCTCTGGACACCCTGCGGCGGCTCATCCAGGAAGAACTCGGGAAACAGCTGGAAAGTGAGTGCATCGCTGGCCTTCGTCACCGCCCGGCATATAAGGACCGGATGCTCCTAGGAGCCCCGGAAGCAGCCCTGCATTCACCCGCAGTGCTTTTGAGACCTGGTTTAGGAGAGGCCCCCTGAGAGTGGCTGATGCAGAAATCAGGACCCAGGAGCCCCCTGCAGGCTCCAGCCAGCCTTGTCTGACACAGCCCCCTGTCCACGGCTTCCCTGTAGTGAGGCTGGAGTTACCTCTGCTTGGTTACCTCTCTGAAGGGGAGCTCACTACCTGCAGAACCAGCTCTGCCATGGCCACTCATTGATCTGTGCATTCGGTCATTTATCTAATGAACTGGTAGTGACTTTGGCAGGCCTGCGATGGGCCCCGCGGAACTCCCGGCTCAGGGGAGGAGGTGGGTTAGGAAGCAGACAAGGTGATCTCAGTACATCTAAGGATCATTAATGACCGTCATATCCAGCCCACCCTTTATAGACGAGGGATTTGACACTTGGATATATCATTAAATAGCTCCGTGTAAGCCACTTAAACCCCGCCCCTGCCTCAGGTTCCCCAACTGACAATTACAACAGCTCTTTCCGCTGCACTGCTGCTGACGTCACTGTTACTGCTGTCAGTCGGCCGGGTCATGATTGTAGCAGCCAGTGGGTACTGAGCGCTTTCCGAGTGCCAGGCACAGCTTTAATGTGTTATCTCATTTACGGCCTCCTCACACCAAACCAGTGGGGCCGGGCTTATTCCATTGCCTCCGTTTCACAGAACAGGAAATGAGGACTAAGAGAGGTCAAGTGACTTGTCCCAGGCTGCACAGCTGGCAGTGGCTGCACTGGGCGCCCAGCCCAGGCAGTCTGGCTCCAGAGGCAGTGGCGGTCCCCCTCAGCCCCGTCGGCCACTGCGGGCAACCCCGGTCAGCAGGTGCACGTACCGGGCTGCAGACGTGTTCGGTGCTGTGCTGTGGCTGTGGCCCTGATGGCTGTTGTTTCGCGCTTGTTATGTCTCCTCGGCGCTGACATTCACAGTGTCAGCATCCTGTGCTCTGTCCTTTGTCCCGCCTTCATGACAGGTCTCTGTTTTTCCTGCTCCGTAGCCAAACTTGCCTACCTCCTGGCCCAGATGCCGCCCCCGGCACACATGAAGGCATCTCAAGGCAGACCCGGGCCCCCGGGCCCCCCCGGGAAAGATGGGCTTCCAGGCCAGGCAGGCCCCATGGGGGAGCCAGGACGGCCCGGGCAGGGGGGTCTGGAAGGACCTTCTGGACCAGTAGGACCCAAAGGTGAGTGAGGACGGGAGCGTGCACGAGGGCCGAGAGGGACGCGGTGAGGCCCCCCCGGCATCAGTTAGGCACAATCTATTCCACGCACATCCCCCAGCAGCTTGGTAACGCCCCGAATTTTGGCATCATGTAATTTTTTCATATGTATAAGAGGTTTTCATACTTGACATTTTTGGAAAACGATGCTTCTGCCAGGAGGATTGAATCAATTCCCTTCTCCTTTTTTGTTCTGACTCCATCTCCACCGCTCAATTTCAGGGAATCATACAAAATGTCCTCTTTCCCCTTCTGACTTGAGAACTGACTGAGGATTAAGCCATTTAATCTCCAGGCAGATGGACACTAAAGGCGAGCTTGATAATTGAACAAAGCGGCTCGGAGCTGCAGCCGAAAATGGCGGCAACCTCCCCAGTGCTCAGGCCGCGTGCCTTACCTGGATGCAGGTAGCCGGTGTGGAAAGTGAGACAGCAGCAGCTCTTTCCTTCAAGGGCAGCGCCTGTCCCTCGTAGCGTAGCCGGTGGCAGGCCGGCGAGAACGCACTCTCTCTGCAGGTGTGGGAGCCCGAGGAAGGGGCTGACGCCAGACTCACCACCCTGATAATTCACTCCTTCCCTCTGGCGAGGAATAAACAGGGGGTGGGGAAGGGGCTGCGTGTGGTGTGATTTCCGCTGCCGTTTGGCGACCCGGCGTTAGGGAAATGGATGTCCCTACCATCTTCCTCTTTCCATGGCCCATTTCCTTATCATTCATTCATTCATTCATTCATTCATTCATTCATGCTCTGTAATGTGTCTCCTACGGAAAAGGCTTTTTTTCTTAAATTTCTGTCCAAGTCCCACCTCTTTTGGTTCATAACTGGTGCGTACTAGAGATATTCTGGAAACGACATGGCAAAAAATGTGAATGACGAGAAAAAAAAGATGAGAGTTTAATCAAATCTGTACGGTATTAACTCACACGTAATCTCAAATGTCCACCCAGGGGAGTTGGACCCTCTCTCCCTGGAACATCTGCTGTGGTTTTAAATCCCTATGATGGCACGTACCCCATTCTGCCTCATATTAGTATGTTCTCTGTGCCCCGTTTCATCTCTTATTAGATCTCAAGCTACTTGAGGGTACAGCTATGTCTTACGTCTATGCCTATATGACGTGGGATGTTGAATTTATTTATCACCCAGTTCCTTCTCGGAGGTTCCGACAAAATGCTCTGAGGATGGGGACGTGTGGCCTGCAGGAGTGGGTGTCTGTGGCCACACGTGTGTATCTAGGAGAGTCTGTGGCCGTGTGCATTGGGCTGCCTGTGTTTGAGAGAATCTGTAGGTATATATGCGTGCATGTATGTTTTTTCTAGAATGTGTGCGAATGTGCACACGTGTGTATGTGATTGGGTAGTTATGTGCGTGAGTAAACGTTTCGGAGTAAATACAGTGTTTGAGCATGCGTTCAGGATGGACCGTCCAGTTATTCGGGTGTCCACATGTGTGTATTTCTGCATGTGAGTGTGTGCTTGGGCGTGAGTGCATGTGAATGAGTGTGTGAGCAGGAATTAGGGCCCCAGGGTGGTGTGTGTGTGAGCAAAGGGGGTTTGGAGCTACAGTCCAGTGGGGGCACCATGCCTCCTGCACGGTGTGGCCCTGTCTCGGCCTTCACCATGGGTCTCCACCAATAAAGGTGTGTGTTTTTCTCACAGGTGAGCGAGGAGCCAAAGGTGACCCAGGTACGCCTGGCGTTGGCCTCCGAGGAGAGATGGGACCCCCTGGAATCCCAGGTAGGCATGGTGTCTGGGGTCTCGGGTGGGGGTTGCCGTCTCCCAGGGCCCAAGATGCAACAGCAGCTGTCCCGCCTGCATCACCACCAGCCTCAAGGGAAGGCTGGGGAGATAGGGCTTCGGTTACCACAAGGGCCCTGAGCCACCGATGGGATCTTATTAAATCTTTCTGAAATGTCAGCTTCTTGACTTACTGAGAAAACTGTAGTACATTCCATGAGTTCTTGAGGTGTGGCCCATGAATTAAAAATCCCATGAAATGGTCCCAAAGAAAAGGAATCTGGGGTTATTTACGTAAGTCTGGGNGCATGTTTGGGCTGGCGGGTCAGAACATGTGGGTGGTTTATTCCAGGCCACATGGTCAGTCTGTGCTCCAGCTGCAGCTTGAGTCCGGGTTCCATGAGTTGAGTCCGGGTCCCCTGGCCTGAGTCCGGGTCCCCTGGCTTGAGTCTGGGTCCCCTGTGGGTTGGTCTTCACCAGGTTTCTGGGCAGAGGGTTCCATGCATTTCTAACCAAGCTCCCTGGCGCGCCCTACATGCTGCGGTCCACGTCTTGGGCTGCTGAGCAGTGGACGAGGGTTGTCGGTAACATGCGAGAGGAGAAAGCTTGCCCTGATCCTGTCCAGCTCCCCCAACCCCCAGTTTATTTCTGAACCCTGAGGTGCACCCTGCCAGCCCAGCCACTCGAGCTGGTGACCCTGTTTTATTTTTTTCTACCATGCAGCCCAAGCCGCCTGGGCTCTGTCCACTGATGTTCACCTGTTCATTCAGGTGTCCAGCCCTTCGAGGTCCAGCCTCCTTCTCTATCCTCTTATTCCTAATCTGCTGTCACCGAGCAGCCAGGAGCCCACTTTTGCGAGACTCACTGTGACAATGACTCCATTAGTCGTGATACAAGCAGGTCATTTGTTGGCGAGGTACAGCTATATTCCCAGTTTACAGATGAAGAAACTGAGTAAGGTACAAGAGCTTAAAGGGGTTATACAGAGGCGGTTCAAGGTCACGGAGCCAGTAAGTGCAGGAGCCAAGATTGGAACCTGGGCAGGCTGCCTCCAGAGACCGGCGTCTTATCGGTGTCTTATTTCGCACGCTGTGAACCTGCTTCTCAGAGAGGGCTCTCCATCACTAGCAGGTTTCTACCATGGCCGTCCCAGAGGTCCTCTTGATGGAGTCACTCACCCCATTGACAGTGAGCCCAGAACTGGGGGCTCCCCTTCTAGGACCTTGGTTTGTCTCCTCTGCACAGCCTGACCTAAGAACCCTACTGGGGATGTCCTTGGTTGGCTAAGGGATCCACGCATCAGTCCCATCGATTGTTGTCTTTGCTGAAACATGACTTGAGTGAAAATGTCCATTTTGAAGACAGTCGTGTCACTTGCCATGTGCTGATGCTGCGAAGCCCACTGATGTTTTGTTCTGTCCATAGGGAGAGTCGGGAGAGAAAGGAGTGCCAGGCAAGGAGGTAAGTGTTGCCCACCTCTTCTCCAGTGGCGACCTTTTTCTGGGGGAGACGCTGGGCCGGCTTCACGAGGGGACGACACGTGCAGCCTCAGGGGCCCTCGCTTCAGGGCTCTGCTGCCACTGTCCTGAAAACCTTAATGCTTTCTGAACAAGGACCCACGTTTTAATTTTGCAAGGGGCCCCCAAATTCCATTGCCAGTCCAGGGCACCATCGGTCCATGCCAAAATGCTGCCTTGGCCGACTTTCTTTGGCTACCCCCAAACAAAGCAGGTACCCCGTTATGCTCTGTCCTATCACCCTGCTCTGTTCTGCCATAGCCCAGGAGATTGGTACAGAGTAGGTTCAAAAACCCCTGATAAATGATGAATAAAAGAGTGAGTGAATGTAGAAGCAACAACCCAGGGGCTCTGTGTGTGAGTTCTACGGACAAAGCTGCACACTGGCCCCGGGGAAATGACTGTCCTGCCTTGGGTTCCNCCCTGTGTCCGGACCGCAGAGGAGAGGCTGGAGTGCAGAGGTGGCCCCTGCACGTTGATTTGGCTTCTGAGCTGCGGACAGGTCCCCTGCGAGCTCCTCACTGTCTGCTCTCACTCACTTTGACAGTAAAGCAGGATGTCCAGCGGCCACGTCTGTCTCCCGATGGCGGCAGCTGGCTGGGGACTGGCCAGAACTGGGCAATGTGTGGCCCCGGGCTCCACCTCCCCAAGAAACTGGCTTGAGGGTATGTGTGTATGTGACACGGTGAACCGGTGCTCAATAAATCTGACTTCCTTCCCCTCAGTTCCATGTGATGATTCCTTTCTTAGCTCCGTTTCGTTGCCAGGTTCGTTTGGGAAGGGAGGGAGGGATGTTTCTATGTGGGACCTGAAAAGGCACGTGAAAGCAAGCAGTATCTGCACAGACCATTCCAGACCCGTTTCCCATTTCTCCGAGGGCTCCTTCTCAGGAATTGCAGTTGCTGTCTTCACCTCTTCTAACCCTGAGGTCGGGGAAATGGAGTGAGATGAGGACTCGGCCTGCTTTGGGAGCTGCACTGGGGAGGAGGCCTCACCCCGACAACTTGACCTTTGACTGCATAATTAACCAGGATGCTCTGCCTGTGACAGGACACGCTGTTGCTATGGAGACCTTTGTGAGGTTGTCAGGCCCAGTCTCACCTTGGTTCCTTTCCAGAATAGTCCCTGTAGTCAGGGAAGAATGGAGAATTGGCAGGGGTTACTAAGCTGGCTGCCACTCTGAGCTGCCTTATTCTCCAGGGGTCTGAGCGGGTGGGGATACAGTGGACAAGGACGTGGCAGAGACGGGGCTGGAGGACACGTGTCCATTCCCAGACGGACGCCCGTTCCTTTGAGCTCCACAGACGTGGCATCAGGTGCTGCCGGGGATGGCAAGGTGAACAGGATACATGGAGGTCGCAGTCTGGAGAGACCGGTACATAATTAACTGCAAACACCATTCCTGGGCTTCGCGCAGGGAGGTGGACGCACATGGAAGAGAGCCTTACAATTGAATTTCATTAGTGCTATGAAAGATAAAGTCTGTAGATAGCACGGAAGACTAGACAATAAAAATTAAAAAACAGTGCCATNGTTTCTTAGCATTTCTGTGCACGGTGGTGTTTGTACCTGCTGTGGGCTATGCGTTAATGCAGGTGAAGCCTGCATGTGGGATGTGCCTGGGAGTGTTAGCTCCTCTTACTGGGACGGGTTTCCAGGCGGCTGGCATATCTGGGCCTGTGCTTCACAGACAGGTCATAACATGTCGGCACCTTTTGGTTCAAGGACCGATGAGGAGTGAGTTCCCGTATGTTCCTTGTTTATTCATCTAGCAGAGCGCCTCCTGTGTATCTGGCTCTGCGCTAGGTGCAGATAGAGATGGGGCACGTGCTGTTCCTTTGGGCCACGCTTGGCCAGGGAGAGAGCCAGGTAGATACAGCCACCAATGAGGAAAGTCCGAGAAGGAGGGACCCGGTGAGCAGAGGAAGCGGCCAGCTCAGCCTGGCGAAGCTGAGCTGTGACTTTGAGGCCTCACAGGAATTTGTCTGACCCTCAAAGCGAATAGCCAGGAGCATTCTTGAATTTTCTGATTTGTAGTCTGCCACGGGATCTTATTGGTTAAGCGTATTTATCAAACTCAGAAAGGTGCACAAAACACCCATCACGTGGGAGCATGTTAGAGTGATAAGAGTCAGCCCTAGAACCTGGAGTGGATGGACCCTCCACCAGTGGTGGCCTGACTGCACTAACCACCTGTCTTCCTGGGTGTCAGTGTCTGCACCTATTAAATGGGGCTATAATGGTGCCCTTAGTGGTGGAGTCAGAGGAGGTAGTGCTCAGACACGCTTGCTCAGCTGAGAACAGCATGCCTGTGATGTGAGCCCTTGTGTTGGACGGTTTGTTCGCTCCTTCAAGCAGCGTCTGAGTTGAAGGATGTGCGGATGAAGGAATGCATGTGGTCATGAGCGTTTACTATGGGGTGCTGTGGGACCGATCACTGGGCTTTTTCATGCACACAGACATTTAATTCTACATCAATATTATGAATTAAATATGAGCGCCTGATTCGAGCTCCTCTGAGTAACGAAGTGGTTTATTGAGAGCCAGCTGGTCCGAGGAACAGCTGTGGGTGTGGAATCGGGTCCCCCATATCCGCTGAGCTCTCTGTCCCACGGCTGTGCTCTGCGGCGTCCTGGCAGAGTCCTGGCGGAGTTACTCCTTCTGATTCTCCCACCAGGGCAAGAACGGATCACCTGGATCTCCGGGAGACCGGGGCCCTCCAGGAAACCCAGTGAGTACCCTCCCGCTGCTACGTGATGGAGTCAGGGCCAGCTGTGCAAGGGGCACGCGGCTCACATCACAGATTGTCTGGTCTCCATCCTTGGAAGCATCCGTGGGGAAACAGGGGGTCCAAATGGCAGAAATAGGCTGGAGAGAGGATCCGGAAAGGGCCTCTTTCCAAGTTGAAAATGCGTGCACGTGGCTCTCTGTTGTCTTCAACCAGGCATCCACAGGGACAAAACTGTTAAAGAATTTTT